TTTCTTGCGGGACACGGCGGGTAGTCCCGAGCGGGCAAGATAGCCCCGTCTTGCCCGCTCGGGTAGCCAATAACAGCGCAGGATTTGATTCATCTTGCCCGCTCGCGGAGCTTGCCATATAATAAATAAAGTTATATATTAAAATACGCGTTCACCTTGTGTATCTTGAGTTACAACAGCCAGATTAAGCCTTCACTGACGACGTTCGTTTAAGGTTCTCTCTACCATCTAATATTACACGTTGCAGCGAAATGGTAGTTCAAACTCTTCGACAACGTCTACCGTCTACCAATGGCTAGAGCGAAAGCAACAGTAGAAGTTTGTTCATTCAAAAAAGTGATTTCGAAAGTGATTTCCTCAAGGGGAACTTTACTGTACATCGTTCGCATATCTCTATTAAAATGCGAGTAGAGCGAGATGCGGCAAAAAAAACGCCGCAAATGTAAAATAAAATGACGGTGCTCAAGGCGCCAGTCTCTGAGTAGCGGTTTGCATAATTCCACTCTCCTGTTTATTTCTATCGCTGGACATAGTTGTTTTGAACACATCTAGCTTTTCTCTACCATGCCCTGAAGTTCTGTTCAGTAACTTGCAGGGTCTTCGTTGGTCTTTCAGAAATCAAGATCATCGTAAGTGACAGGCCCTGAAGCTCGTCTCGAAACCGCAAACACTTCACTCTCCTTCTCCGCCGGCTGAGTGTCATAAAAACTGGCAAATAACTTGCCTTTATTCACAGATTTCCGTTCCTTTTTAGATTTTTTTGCCTGCTCGTTCACGGCCTCTGTACTGGGAATTTTCGGAGCACTTCCTTTCGCTCTCCCCGCTTTGTTTTTCTTTTTCCCTCTCTTGCTTTTCTTTTTGTTTTTATTTGATTCCTTTGCAGTCCCTTCTTGTGCTTTCTTCTCCATCATTTCCAAGTCCTTGGCCGGTATTGGAGGAAACGTGCAAGGTATTCTCCTTTCTCTAATCTGCCAAGGCATAAACAAATTACACTCTATTGCTGCCCAGGGAATCTCAGCTGCGGTGTAGTTGACTACAACTGGTGTTCTTGCTTTGTGAAGATCATAAGAACACTTTAACGAACTTGAATTTGACACCACGCTCTTGTACAAACAGCCGTGGATCTCTCCCGACTTGTGAGACAAGATGAACTTCCCCTCAGGAAGTCGCTTCAGCGCTTGAAAAACTTGAAAGACCGTCTTCATTCCTTGAGCGGGTTGAAAACCCGCTCCTTGTTGCACGATATCGTTAATGGAAAGCTCATCAACTCGTAACAATTTTGAATTGAAAACGTTTATTCTGCCGCAGATAAGTTTGGTATTCTGCCGGATGTAACTAGACAGCCAGAACCTTGCAGCCTCGCTGCATGTCAGCTTCTCGTGGCCAAAGTTTGGTTGATACTCCAGTTTTGGAAGAACACTAAAAAATGTAAAGCAGTTTTGTTTTCTTGGTTCCGCCCTGTATGCGTCCACACTACACCGTATCAAAACTTTTAATTTCCCGAATTTCCAAAGATTGTAGACGTAGAACTTCTCTTCTGCGTTTAAAGAAGCCGAACCGCTCTCTTTTTCGAGATTCTGAACTGTCGGGTCTACACCAGACTCGGTCAATTTTGTCTTCTTCGTCTCGGCAATTTCATCTTCTCTTTCTGTCGCTCGTCGCTTTCTGCTTTCTGAATCTGTTCGTTCCAGCCCTAAACCAGTAGAACAAAACTTTCCTGTCACCTTCGCATTCGAGCCAGTATTTCTTTCTGTGCCATCATCAGTAGTTGTGTTACCGCCGCCAGATTTCTGACAAACCAACCCCCGAAAGACAAGTTTGTAGAACTTTGCGTTCACTTCACGAGGATGGACGTTTTGCGGCGGCAGAGGCTTGTCAATGAATATCACTTTGTGGATGCTGGATTTATCTTGATTGTCTACTAGAGAAAATAAATAAATAAATAAATAAATAAATAAATAAATAAATAAATAAATAAATAAACAAACGAACGAACGAACGAACGAACGAATGAATAAAGAAAGAAAGAAAACAAGTAATGTTTTTTTTTTTGTTTTTTTTTTCCTTAACCTCTAGATAGAGATTTGGACGACAAAATCTGCCTGGCAGGACAAGTTCACTGAAAAATCGTACGCAAAAAGACATTAAGTACAGGGAAAATTTCCCTGTACATGCAGACGGGGAGAAAACGCTTCCCCATGAATCTCTCCGCGCATTTCTAAGTCAGATGCAATTTCGATTCTAATTCTCCAATTCATAACAGCACAAATACTCAAAAGAACTCCAAAAATTAAGACGTTAGCGAGGCGCAATGAGGATCCTAATGCTAAGCAACACCTTTGACGAAAAGGAAAAAAAAAACACCTTTGAGGAAAACTATGGGCTCAGACTGGAAGAAAACAAGTTCTTTCAAGCAGCTTCGCTTTTTACAAACCTTGTTGTCGCTGAACAGTGATGGGTAACTGCCATTGTCTGCGGTAATCTGACGGCTGATTATCCAGAAGAGTGTTCAACCCACTTGATGAGATCACGATATCAACTTTGTGCTTCTTAGCCAGACTGACAGCAATTGGATCCTCACTTACTACCTGTGGGAGGGAAGGAATGGAAGGGAGGGGAGGGTGGGTAACTCTGTAGGTCAGTAACAGAAATTACCATATATGGCTGACTCCGTGAACGGGCAAGATGAACTGAATCCTGCGCTGTGATTAGCTACCCAAGCGGGCAAGATAGTGATATCTTGCCATCTCGGGACTACCCCTGTGTCCCGCAAGAAAATACTGTTCTTTTTCCATATAATAAATCCTTTATTGACCAAGCTTTTTCGGTCAAGATGGCTGGATATTGACCTCGTTCTACTTTTGCGTGTTTATGGATCTCAACTCCGTCTCAGTTCATAAATATGCAAAAAAAGAACTTGGCCAATATCCATCCATCTCGAGCTCATGCTTGGTCAATAACCCATATAGTGTACAAAGACATGAGAGAGTAAACATGGTAATACAAAACAAATGCATTCGAATTTTTCAATAATATAAATAAGTTATCATCAAATACCTTAGGTGGATTTGGTTTTACTACAGCTGATGTCATGACTGTTGTGTTCTCGTCTGAAAGAGCTGAGACTTCTGACAACACAATGTTGGTGTTTTCAGGCAAACTCAACTTTGGAACATTTCCCTGTGTTAGCAACAATCCATAATTTCACGTTTCAGGCATAAATTAGAAATTCACAAAGTAGGATTACCAATGCCTAAATTTAGTTGTTGATTTAGATTGATTTGGAAAAATTACACATTCATAATCTTTCTCTTCTTAAATTCTTTAAATGGTGCACCAACAGTCAGCCTGTACAAAGGTAAAGCTCCAGGATAAATTGTAATATAACATTTATTGTATCACAAAGAAAATTACTCCATTGTGATTGGTTAAGAGCAAACCAATTTATCATTAATTGTTTGCACTGCATTGTAAATTAACACACGTTTTTGTAATTTTCTCAGTCATGTAATAAATGAGAGATCATATATAGACCACCTTCATAAATGGCAGCCAATTATAAATTCTTTTGCAAGTATTAAAATTAGCCTTACTAACCTCATTTTGAAGTTGGTAATTCAAAACAATTTTTTACTCTGAAACGAGTTTAATGCATACAAAAGAGTTTTAAATTAGCAGCCATTCATGAAAAGGGTGTATACGAAAGCTCAAGCAATTAAAGATTTTCAATACTCACGATAGTTGAAAATTCTTTCAATTTTGAGAGAAAATAAATATCACTCATAGTGTAAACCCTTAATTGTACTTGCATTGATACAACTACCAATATTAGTAGGAATAGATTACAATGACCAACTGTGCATTCACAGTAAAAAACTCAAATTACTCCAAGCCATTAGGCTTTTAGTGTGTGTGATACAAATTGGGATTGCCAGTTAAGAATTTAACTGGGAAAGCAGATGAATTTCTGTCTGTTGTTTCATGTCAAAACAGAAAATCCCTCCAAGTTTTTAACTGACTTACCACTTGCAGTAATGTGCGCTCAAAAGTTAACACTGCATCTGATTTGAAGACAGCACCAGCAGCTAATCCGATTGTCTCCTGCAGTGAGTAGAACTGCTACATGACAAAAAGGCAAAAATGGTAAATACAAGACATATTCTTCTCTATGGAAAAAATAACAATTCACAGATCAAACAATGAGAGTAATGTACTCACAGGGTATTTGTTGATGCTGTCATTAAATTTGCCTTCAACTTCCATCTGAAGCAATATAAAGTAAAAGTACTATTACTGTAAACCATGAAAGAACACTTTCAATTGGCATTGAGGAGAATGAGTGCACTATAGTGAGAGCACAAGCCTCCTCGTCAGTTCAATGTGACCTGTCCCCTGGCATTGAATTCTGGCCCTGGCATCAAATGCCGGTTCAGTTTCTTGTCAGCTTGTCCAGTTATCCTTCCTCCTCAACAACCAATACGCTGAATTCCAATTTGATCTAGTATGTGGTCCCAATTAGTACATGTAGTAAGCTTGCTAGAAGCTCAACACACTAAAAACTTATTTTGTTTATCACAGATTGCTTCTTCTTAACTCAACCTTCACTTAACTCCAGTTTCCAGGCGACAAGCAACTAAGACTAATGCTACTCCTCCTTGGTCCTGAAGGGGGTAGTAACTTATCATAGGGTACCCTCCCCCACCCACTCTGAAGCAAGTAGCCAATTATACACCTGGCCCCAGTTGTTCAGAGGGTTGATAACGCTACATGTATCCACTGGGTAAATCACTATCACAGTGGATAGCATGGTTTATTTTATCAACACTTATCCTCTAGATAGCAATTTACATGTATCCAGTTAATAGCGCTGGTTAAATTTCAACTACTGGGGTCTGGTTAGAAAGAAGCACTGTTTTAAAAGAGTAATGTTTGCTCAAACAAGTATCATAGGGTCCATTACTAGACAGTGCAGCTTCCACATTGTCCAATAAGAAATTTTTTTCTAGATGCTGCATAAGTTACCTTGAAATAATTCCAAATGTCAGGGTGAATGAAGTTATACAGATGATGATTGGTCTTTGCATGAGTATGTACAAACTGTTGGTATTCTTCTTGTTCCATCAACACTGCATTCTTTATATCCTGAAAACAACAAGACAACAAAACACAGTGTGGGCTAACAGAGAACAGTCAAAACTAAGCAGTGTGAAGCAATGAGTTTTGTTGAGGGAAGAAAACAAGGGATCTTGGAACATGACTGTTTATCAACAACAAACCAGACCAACATACATGTACATGCATGATGCTGGCTCCAAGATTTAACACTGGGCCACACTGGGCCTCTCTTGTGCAAGGCAACAGCTCTCAACTCTTACTATTAGGATGCAAGAATATCACTAGGAATCTCACATCAAATTATAAAATTATAAAGTGCAGTTTGATATTTACAGCACCGAGTGTCGCTACACAGCTTTCAAGAGGGATTCATCTCAGGTAAAACTACTAAATTTGGACTTCAAGTTACGTATTAGTGTCAATTTACAGACTCTCTGTAGCTTTTTCCCAAGTTGTTATTAATACACTTTAGACTAGAAAATGCACCACTCACAAAATTTTAACACAACTTCATCCAGAGCTTAAGAGACTCAGAGGATATTGATTACATCATTTTTTGGCTTTTAAAAGCATGGTTGTTTGTGCAAACAGTCATTTTATTTATATGCTTAAACGAAAATGACACAGTAGCCTGAAGATATGAATTTTATTTTCATCTTAAAAACAATAGTTTACCACTCAAAACTATAGTTCAGATCTTTGGCCTCTGTGTAATCTCCTCAATGTATTAATTTAACTGTAATGCAGTCACAAACCTGAACAGCTTTCATTTCCTGCAAATCCATGTTAGCTAGCTGCCCAGATCTCAATGTCTCAAATACCTTGAAAAACATTTTCTGACTTTCAATGCTTATTTTTGAAATGAAAGGGAACTCCATGGCTGGACCAAGGCAAGCTGGGGCACTGTTTGATCTACTTTTCTCAGCACCAGTTCTCTTAGCTCCTTTGTTCATCTTGTACTCAGCAGCTTCTGGAGACCCCATGGTTATGTCATGTTGTGGCAAGCTATTTTCTTCATCTTTGTCGGGGCTAAGATGTTTTTCTAGGAACTCCACATAGGATGGCTGACATGAATGTTTCTTATAGTTTTCTTGAGTGAAAAAGACCTCATGTTGAGTTACTGAAGATGGAGTTTTTGGTCTGAAAGATAAAAAAAATAAATAAATAAATGTGTGGTTCCAGAAAATATTCATACCCACCCACAGAGGGTCATGGAAATTCTGAAGGGGTAGGGGCGTCTAAAAGAGGTAAATTTCCGAAGGGGAAAGGGGCTACTCAAAGAGTTCTTTGCAGTGGGTGTGAAATGCGATTGAATGAACACTACCGTACTTTCCCAATTGATTCAGGTAACCAAACCAACAGAAATGTACCATCCATTGAAATAAATGTTAGATTCTTTGTCATATATTTTCCAATTTTCTTGCGACACCGTATGACAGATGGCAATCCTGGAGTATCGTGTTTGTTGGACGTTGAGTTGAACAAAATACGGACGAAGAGTTGCAGCAACACATGAACAATGAAGTTGATGATATTTT